TATAGGTAATGGAAGAGTATCTTTGGTTCTGTTTGCTCAAACACCATGTTTGCTATAATTGCAGTTTTTATAACCAGAAAAACAGAGTAATACTGATAGACTGATTTTCGTTAAGAAATGTGTTTTGCAGTTCTTGGCTAAAGCTCCCACTGGACCTTGGAGTACAACTTGTAATTACAAAAGGAGGACTGAGCCTTTAAAAAGCCTGCTGATACTCATCCTCCACAGATATATTTTGGCTAAATATTCTTCACCTATATTCTTAAGGTAAGTGATTTGCAAGGGTCCAGTCATAAATATTCTCTGGCAGAGATGGTTTAGTAAATCTGAAAGAAATTTATGAGAGACTGAAACATTTTCTATCCTGCAAGACTAGCAGCCTATGGAGAAGGAAGGAGGTTTTGGCCTTGTTTCTGTCAGAAGGAAGGATTTTGGTTTTTTTTTTTTTTTTTTCTTTCAAGTTGTCAGTTACTTTCCTCCTCCCCAAAGCCGCAACTTAAAGAATTTACAGCACAAGTCCAGGGTTCAGCTCTGTGTCTTTAAAGCATAAAGAGAAAAAGAGAGCACCTGAAGAGGACAAAGGCAAATTCTCAAATAAGCAGTGGCTATTTTATAGCATGTGCCTTAGGTATATACTCTCAAGCAAAAAACCCTCAGAAACAAAAGGATAGAGCACAATTGTTTCCAGATGCCTATCTGTTAAAAGCCATTTTTTGAATCATACTTTCAGCTTCACATATTCTTTATGCTAAGTTATGCTGTCCCAGTTCATTCCTGCCCTCATGCTGCTCTCTCTCTTCTGCCAGAGTAAGGATTTATGTGGTGGCAGGTGAACCAGATAAAAAACCTGATCCATGTTAAAGTTAAACACAAAAAAGGGGGGGTTAATTTTAATCTGGACCGTGGAACTCATCTCATTTATTAAACAGCTGCATAGATCAGGGATGATGGAAATGAAGGGAGGGACAGAATGGGTGGAGGAAGGCAAGATTACTTCTTTTGATAGCAGTGCTGACCTGTGACATTTTACAGCACATGAGAAATTACAGACTACGAGTGGACTGACTTGTGGAGCACAGTGAATTAACTTATTCTCAAAATTAGTGTCAGGCCCTTACAATGTATCATAGGTAACCAAATCTGGTTTTAAAGAGAAAAAATAATTATATTAAAGGGGCAGTGAACTTATTTTGGTTTGTCTCATAAATCAATAATTTATAATAGCCATAGGTAAGTCCTTTCAACTAAATCCTGTTATATAACTTTTTAAACAAACTTTCTTTTATTTAAAAAGATGTTTTGAAACAGGTAAATCAATACATACCAGTTAAGATAGGCTACATAATCTTTCAAGTTGCTTTCTGTTCACCAGAGCACAGCCACCTAAAGGTAACGTATATATTTCCAAACTGTATACATATTTTTATTAGTTACCAGTCTAGCCAAGTGTCTAGATTCTATCCATATAAATATAACATTTATCTTTCATATACTAATGATCTTAGAATGGTACTACATTGTAAATTGTGTGTTAAAGCAAAATATCTGCAAAACCATATCTCAAAAAAGCTTGGGGACATCTTTGAACATTAAGGGATTAAAGTGGTTTATACCATTCAGATGAAATGTGGCTTAGATAGAAGTACCCAAAGATTTTTCATATGCATTTAAAGTACAGGGCTTTCCCTTCTTAGCATGAAGGTTTTAAGGTATGTGCAGATAAAATTCTGCAGTACCTTTCTGAAGATTTAAAGCAAACTTTCTTTTTTCCTATTGCTCACAGAAGATAAGGAAGAATGGCTGTGGCAAAGCATATAACACGACTTGGAAAGCTCCCATATTCCTCTTCCCTCTTCAACAGGAGATGTTTATCTTCTAACACCTTTCCTGGAAATCAGATTTCTTGCTAAGAAGCAAATGTAGTATAGATTTGTTTTACTGAGGTGATATCTAGATCACATCTAAGAAAAATCTGTGTTAAATGGGGCAGTTCAGGGGTCATGTAATTCGCAGCGAGCATTCCAGTTTCTTGACAGCGACTTGAGTTTTTGTAAATGAAACTATTTCTATCTTATGGATTTTCTCTTTGTAGTACAACTGTGACTAGTAATTGGAGAATGTAATTTATTCTTTGCATAAAGCACACTTCTTTATAGACAAATACACTTTTAAAATATGAAACATGAGAAAACGGCATAAAAATTTACAACACAAGATCTCTTCTAAAAGCTGGCTGGTTTACCTTTGTAGATACACTTGACCATTTTTATCTGCAACAGCAAATATCTTTCTGATGCTGCAGGCATGCCCCTGGGTCACAGAAAGCAGAAACTTTCTGGAATTTCTTTAGAAAGACTAACCTTTCTGTGGAGTAAAACTGCTGGCCGAAAGTGTGAGCATACATGTTGTCATGTTCTCTTAACTACTGTACATACAAAGTTAGTTGTAATTATTAAACTTCACTAGAGGTACTGCACAAGTGTACTGATGACACAACATTAAAGACTGACAAGTGCTGTTTGTTAAACTTTTGTGTTACCTCTACTACTTGCAGCTATCCTGCCAGTCAACTGTGTTTGGGTTCAAGTGTTATTCCTCTTACTCTTACACCTGGGCAAAGCATTTCTTAGTAGCAAAGAATGCCTTCAGAACAAAGAGGGTGAATAGGAGGATTAGTGTGAGCTTGTGATAAGCCATCTTTACACTTCCATCTCTTCTAACTGTGTGATAGAACAGCTTATCAAATGATTAAGAGATAGGGATGTAAAAGGACAGCTATCTTGGATTCAACCTAATTATCACAGGAAAAATAATTATGGAGTGTTTTTAAAATGCTTAGAGCAGCAATAGGAAGAATTGAAATAGGTTATATCAGCATCTGTAACAGGCACTGCTTCAGAGTCTCTCTCCTTAATGATCTGCTTATGATGAGATGTTTCACACAAAGGGCATCTTTCATCTGTGTGCTGGCTGACGGTTCCCAAGCTTCTGAGACCAAACAATTTAAACAGAAGTATCCTCTCAGTTTCTGATAAAGTCCCCTAGACAATTTTACCAAATTCCCAAGCTGGCTTCTGCTCTGCCATCCTAGACAGCAGCTGAATGCCACCCATCTCCATGCCCAGGCCCTACAGCAGCACATGGAAGCTGCTTCCTGAATGAATGGTAAGAAATACCAGATCTTATGTTGAAAACACCTCTCCAAACAGAAACATGCATGCTCAGACGTCTAGGGAACAGATTCTGGATTCAGACTATGAGGGGGATGGCATTAGTAGCTCTACTGAGCACCTTTACCACAGCATTTGCAATAATTATGTGGACCTAATATTTCATCTTGCAGTTCCAAACCCAATAAACAACAGTATGTGAGGGAGAAATTACAGTCTCTGGAAATGGCAGCTTCCCCTGCTCTTTGAAGTTTAGATTTAGTTTCAATGTGTGCCACGATGTTTGTTTTACAAGAACCAATGATTCTTCCAGTCTTCCTAAGTGGAGGAGTGAAAGAACCTCACTCATATTAGATCAGTTTTATTTCTGACTGAATTTTTGGATGATGGTTTTATCCTAGCTTGGAAAATTTTAACTCTGGCATACCTAGACGTGAGTTAGTTTGTGTGAGTCTAGTTAGTTAGAAATCTCAGTAAATTGCTCTTTAATTACATAGAGTATTTAGAGAGAATGCTTCCTGAGCTCACAGACAACACCATTGCACTTGGTAAATTATATTATACATTTATGTAAATGAGCTGTTACCCTAATAGGGCAGCATCTATTCCTATTTTGAGTCATTAGTGAAACACAATCAGAACCCTGACAGTCTAATTAATTTATCGGAACCCATTAAAAAAAAAAAAAGCCACGAGCATATTGAACTATGCTTAACTATTCATCACAGCAGTCCATCACAGTGGCAGTGAGGTATTTAAAAATAAGAACTATATAGTATTACAGAAAGGTTTGGGTGGCAAAGGACCTTAAAGATCATCTAGTTCCAACCCCTCACCATGGGTAGAGATTACCCCTCACTAGACCAGGTTGCTCGAGGCCCCATCTTGCCTGGCCTTGAACACTTTCAGGGATGGAGCATCCCAGTTTCTTCAATCAACTTTTTGCAGTGGTTCAACACCTCTGAATATGTAACTTCTCCCTAACATTCATCTAACTTTTCATCTAAATCTCTCTTCTTTTAGTTTAAAACCATTCGCCCTTGCCCTATCACTATCTACCCATATAAAATCTCCTCTTCCTCTTTTTTATGAGCCTCCTTCAAGTATCACAGAATCACAGAGTTGTTAGAGTTGGAAAGGACCTCTGGAGATCATCTAGTTCAACACCCCTGCCAAGGCAGGGTCATCTAGAGCAGGTGACACAGGAACGTGTCCAGGTGAGGTTTGAATGTCTCCAGAGAGGGAGACTCCATGATCTCCCCGGGCAGCCTGTTCCAGTGCTCTGCCACCCTCAGTGTAAAGAAGTTCTTCATATTGAGATGGAACTTCTTGTGTTTTAGTTTATGGCCATCGCTCCTTGTCCTGTTGCTGGGCACCACCCTCTTGGCATCCGTCTTTGAGATATTTATATGCATTAATGAGACCTCCTCTCAGTCTTCTCTTCTTTAGACTAAGCAAACCCAGCTCCCACCATCTGTCCTCAGAAGAGAGATGCTCCCAAATACTGGAAGGCCACATTAAGGTCTCCCCAGAGCCTTTTCCTCTCCAAGCTGAACAACCTCAGCTCTCTCAGCTGGTCTTCAGAGGAGAGGTGCTCCAGCCCACTAATCACCTTGCAGCTTGTACCATTAGGGAATTACCTGTAATTCTCATTTGTAAGATCGGTCTAGGTATAAAACAGTACTTCTGCCTTGCGGGTTTTCCACGTAAGGGAGAAATAGACGGCAGGAAGCTTTCTCAGTTACCCGGGCACCTCTTCTAAAGTCGAGGCCTCCTAAACTCTCCTGGAGGGCGCCCGCCGAGGCAAGAGCAGCTGCCCGGCAGGGGCCGTGGCGGGCCGGGCCTCCTCGGCAGGTCGCGGCTCCTCCCCGGCGCTCTGAGTCACGGCCCGGCCCCGCTTGCACAAACTCTGCGGTCGGTGCCGAGCGGGGGCCGCCCGCTGTGAGGGCGCGGCGGGGGTGGGGGGGGCGCGGGGCAGGATGCCCGCCCTGAGGGGACGGAGCCTCCGGGGCGGGCGGGCGTGAGGGCGCTCCCGCCCGAGGGATCAACGGCGGCCTCGCCGTCCCGTAGCGGACGGCGATTTACCTGGCTGGCCGCCTCCCTCCGTCCTTCCCTCCCTCCTCCCTTCTTTCCCGGAGCCGGTCGTTTCGGCGGAGAGGGAGTGGAGCCCGCCTCGCCCCGCCCCGGGGAAACTTTCCGTCGCCGCCGCCCGCGCCAGGTAGGGGCAGGTCCCGGCGGGGCGGGAGCCGGGAGGGGGCGGTGGCGGCGGGGACGGGCCCCGGACGAGTTTCGGAGGTGTCGCGCCACCGCTTGGCCTCGCCGGCGGGGCGGGACGGGACGGGGCGGGCTGTCGGGCCGGTGTCCCCCGCAGCCGAGCAGCTGGCCGTCTGCCGCAGGGCCGCCGCGGGCTGAGGGCAGTATATAGGTCACTGGAAGTAATGCCCGCCTAATCCCCTTTATCTTTTTTGGCTCGGCTTTTCCGCTGCTGGTTTGTGGGGCGACCCTGGGCAGCGTTGGTCGCAAACTTCTGGGAGAGGACCCGGGCTTCGCGCAGGGCTGCGAGTGCCGAGGTGAGAGCGTGGGATGCGCACTTTTATCTCCGGGGCGGCTTTTTGCTCACCAGTGTGACGCCTCGCAGAGTGCCGGGTATTCCTGCGTGGGTCTGTCACCCCCGCGACCCCGTGCCTGGGTGGTCGCTTCGGGTTCGGGCTGCTGATCTAACAGGCGAATGACATTGATTACTTCTTTCTCGTTGCGTCACTCTCCACAGTCACCGAAGGCTGCTTTGATATTTGCTTTGGATGCAAAAAAAAAAAAAAAAAAAAAAAGCCGAGGTCTCGGCGACTTCGGGGCCCTGGTGACTGGAGAAGGCAGTGCGCCCTGGTAAAGTGATTGCTGTGTTGCTTTCTCTGATCTTTGAGGAACTGTTAGCAAGGTCACGTGAACCTGTCCTGTCGCCCAGGGTTGTTGGTAGTAACTCGGCATGGGTTTTTTGTCCACCATGTGGACAGGTCCGTAGGTGCCGGCAGGTGCCCGCTGCCTGCTCAGAGGCTGTGCCTGCGGCCAGCCTACCACTACAGGAGTTCGCCAGGTTGGGGCATATGGTTTCTTGTAACTGAGGAATGCTCAGGCAGACTGGATAGTCTTCGGAGATTTTTATTTCAGTCTGATTTTCCTCCTCTTCCCTGGGGTGTATGATTGGTTTTCTGGTTAGCGTTAACGCAGCTCATACAGTGATGATAAGAAGAAAAAATGCACAAAAATGATTGTATTATTTTATATGCCACCTTACTACTTCTGATTGCATTGAAAGAGACTTCAGAATCTGCCGGTGCCCTCTCTCTCTGCCTAGGTATTTTCTCTTGATCAGTGTGAAACTCTGATGCTGTGCAAGGGTTTATAGTTGAATTTTCCTTCTGTACAACAGTATTTTTATTCTTCCTCATCGCAGTAAGGATTCAGAGCCTCATCTTGTCAGTGGAGAAACATGATGGTTTTTGTTTTGTTTTTTATTTTCAGAGGAAAGAGGGAGTGATAATAAACTGTCCATTCAAAGAGATCACTCACACTCCAATAAGGTAGTAATGTTAGGTCATGCAGTACAGACCTACGTTTCTGGTTTGTGCTGGTTTCATGTCCTAATTTCCAGAAGTAAACCGTTTAGAGAAATTGTTGTTTGGAAGGGTTTTTAATACCTGAAGAAGTATGAGGGTTTTCACATTATTTGTGCTGCCTTACTTCTGGGCTGTCCAGAAGACAGAGTCCACCTGATCTGAAACTAATCTAAGAATTAGGACCTCATGCTGCAATTCGTTTCTTCCTCTCTGGCTCTGCTTTAATGAACTTGGAAAGTCAAAGGGAGAAGGAAAAGACAGAAAAGCTTACAATCTACTTTGTAAAGTAAAAAGTTGCAAAGGGCAGGATTGTACCAGTGAGATACTGGTGTGACGATGGCAGTTGTGAAACTCATGGAACATCCAGATGCCTTTTTCTCTTAGCTGTCTCAATCAAGACAAATGTTTACAATTGACTTCTGCTAACAGCTATTTTGGTCTATTTATTGACCCATGGTGATTGACTACATGTGCTTTGAAAAAGAAGTGAATCCTATTAGAATGATGAAAAATGTGTGGCCAAAGCTCATGGAAGAAACTTAACTTTAGTACATACTTTTAAAAAAAATTATTTATTTTACTGTGTCTCATTATGTGGTGGTGATAGTAAAAATTGGATTGTGTTCTCTAAGGGTTGTTTTGGCTTTGAGTTTTTTTGTTTGTTTTCTTTTCCCCCCTAAATAGCATACAAATATTCATAGAATCTGAAACCAAGAGAACCAAAATTGGAGAAACTACTGCTCATGTGGTTTTATTTGATCCTTACATGAAACTGAGTTTTCGAAATTATTATAGATATATTTTCTCTTCAAAAGATTATGCTAGTGCATTGATGCCTGTTAAGCTTAAGGCTTCAGATTTACAGTCTCAGTAACCATCTGAAGCATCAGTTTTTCTGTTAAACTGTTCATTGAAGAGTTATCGAGATTATTTTGCTATACATAATTTTAAGTTTTTTAAAAAAACCTTTCAAATGCTACTGTTCCTCCTTTGCACATATTTATTTATTAGTATACAAATGCTTCTTTTTGATGCTTGCAGAAGGTTTCATTGCAAAGCATTTTCAAATTTTAATTAGTCTCATGGAAGTCTTGTTTAGTTCTTTAATGTTGGAGTTGCATACTTGACTTCTTAAAAATGCAGGTTTCCACATCCTAGTCTAATATTATTGTGACTCGTAGTTTCCCTTAAACATGAGAGAGACATTTTTTCTCTTTCTTTCTGTTCTCTGGGGCATATTTAGTGTTCCTGGTATGTTTGCGGTGTTTGCTATGTGCTGCTGAGAACAAAGCTTTTGTGACCTCTTACTCCAGTCATCATTTTTGGTAACAGTTTCATAACTATATTTTGGGCTACAGACACTTAAACTGCAAGACTCTTCTCAAACGTGCTGATTTGGCATTGTTGCCTTACTTGTGGTCTCTTATCAGCCTAATGGGATAAGTCAGTCTTGCACTAAGTAACTGTAACCCCCCCAAAAAAAGAAAAAAATCATATACTCTATCCCTATTAGAATAAGCCCCCAGGAAAGGGGGCATCAAGGAAGGCTGTTGGCAAATAGTGCTTTTTGTCCTGCTTTTGGGTGTGTTTCAAGTAATGTAGTACAGAACAGCAGATGCCTATACTTTAGGTATGTTGTGTGGTTTAGCATACTTTAGGTGTGCTGTGATAGTCTTGAGTAAAGACAAGCAACCTTGGGATGCTTCCAGAAGAGGCTACAAAGGCCTTCACTGGTCAAAAGGTGGGCCACGAGTGACCTGGAGATTCTAACATTTTTTTCAGTCCTTTTTGCAATCCTGGCTGTTCAGTAAGAATTTCTGTACCTTTAAAAACTCACACAAACAGCTTCCAAGAAGCCATGCATTTTCCTAATCTGATTAATTTATTTGGAAAGTAGAGGTAGAACTTACTGTGTCACAGGTAGCAGGTCAGTTAGAGCTGGATCAAGTTGTTGAGGCTGCACCTCAAGAACTGTGTCTGGTTCTGGAGCTCTCACTACAAGAAGGACATTGAGGTGCTGGAGCGAGTCCAGAGAAGGGTAACAAAGCTGCTGAAGGGTGAGTCTAAGTCCTGTGAGGAGCAGCTAAGGGAGCTGGGATTGTTTAGCCTGGAGAAGAGGAGTCTCAGGGGTGACCTTGTTGCTTTCTAGAACTACCTCAAAGGAGGTTGTAGCCAGGTTGGTGATCAGCTTCTTCTCCCAACCAGTGACAGGACAAGAAGGCATAGCCTCAAGCTCCAAGGGGAAGTTCAGGTTGGGCACCAGGAAGCATTTCTTAACTGCAAGGGTGATAAAACATTGGAATGGACTGCCCAGGGAGGTGGTGGAATGTTCAAGAAATGACTGGATGTGGCACGTGGTGCTCCAGTGTAATATATGTGTACACACACCAGTCCATTTTAAAGGACTAGCTTAACTGTGGAGGTGCTGTGATGACAGCAAAGCATTCACCAGTTATTGTTATGAAGACTGAGGAGCTTTTGCAAACACATGTTGCGTTACTTTCTCTCTTAGGCATTGATTATGAGACTTCCTATTATTATGGGTAGGTATCTTGCAGTCAGTGACTTACTGATAGTGAGGTGAGAATACTTTCCATGTTAACCCACATGGCCAAAAACTCCTTGCCAAAGGTGATCCTGAACAGCATGTCTGGGGGAGGCAATTCCATGTGGAATGAAAACAGAACAGGTAAGGTAAGAGCTGGTGACAGTCGTGATAGAGGCTCAAGGCATGTGAAGACATTACCTAAGAATGTGTTACCCCTGGTATTTAGTGGGATTGCTTTTAAAGAGGAAAGTTTGGAAACATGACACGAATATAGCAATTGGCACGCAGGAGGCCCAAGATGTACCTTGGGTCTTTGACTTGTGCTACCCCTGAACTAAATGTAGCATCTTTTCCTAGCGGTTGGAAAATTTGCCCTGAAATTTATTGTGTTCCAAACTGTGCTGGCTTACCGTGGGTAGCGAGTTGCTAGGAAATAAATGACTTCTTTTTCTTTTTTTTTCCCTGTTAAAAAAAAAAAAAAAAAAAAAAGAGGTCAAATTGTGATGTAATACTGAATTGCCTACACATACAGTAATGTTAGACCATGACAGCTAATTCTGGTCTAATCATGATTAGCATGGTAGTGGACATGTTATCTGCTTTTGTGTGGGGACATATATAGACAGATTAGTGCTAAAAGTATTAGGTGAATTCTTACTATGTGGTTTTTTGCCACTTAACTGTTGAAGCATAGTCAAATGTTGTCTTCTCCCCTTGTACCTCTACCGCAGTCTCCAAACAGTTAGACAGACAGTTTTGTTTATTCCAACATTTGCATGCCTTAGAAGAACTTGTCCATTTTGTTTTTTTTAAAAAAAAAAAGGATGGAAAAGCTGTGTGATACTAAAAACATGTGCTAGGTTCTTTGCATTAATAACTGTTACTGAAGGACAATTATGGCCATTATCCTTGTAATTCTAGATAGTTTTTACAAGTTGTCTGTATTGTATATTGGTGGGGGGTAGGATTTATTTCTGTGAACATTTTTACATAAAAAGACTACTCTAGCAATCGTTTAGTTTGCCTGAGGAACTGATTAAGTGATGGATGCTGGCAAAAGAGCTCACAGTTAGAAGGATTTCCTCATGAATGTGAGGAAAATAAAGCCTTCAAAATATTGGCAAGACCTATATGCCAGTAAACTTCTTCATTGTAACCTAAATTTAACTGTTGGCTGGGTTTTTTTTGCACTGTGCAGCCAGTTGAAGAGTTGGACTCCTGAAGAAACAACCTCACTTGCATTCACAAAATCTTCTGTAGAACCTCAGATATCCCTGAGTAGGAGGAAAGCAAAGTTTGTATTTTTGAGTTAGTTTTATTAAGAATTAACAGTAAACATAGTTGTAATAAATAAACTATTTTCACATATTTGGGGTTTTAGACACACAAGTCAAAGAGCTACGAATGA